TGATATACTATTTATTTTTAGAAGGTAATTTCCGACACCTATTTATAGAAAATGAGAATTATTTAGCAGATTGTTGTGTATAAAACACAGAAAGCAAAAATAAAGTACTTTAAATTGCAAGGAGATAGTCAAAAATGGTGTTGTTTCCGCATTTTTAATCTATTTTCTCACAGCATCATCTTTTCTATATAAAGATCTTCATTTTATCAATCGTTGCAGTGAGAATAGCGAACCGTGAATATCCGGTGCAAATAGTGACTTTATCTAGATTAAAATATCAAATAAATTCAAATCGGAAACAGACAAGCACTTGTGTACAAGTCAATCGGTTATTTCCGTGAAACTAGGCGATTTGATTGTACTACAAATCACCTATTTGGCGTCATTATGGTCGTATTTATTTCGATTGTTTTTGTATATCAGTTGCACGCAAACAGTCGCGTGAAACGAATGCATTTGACTCTCGGCTATGTGAAAAATGTTAAACTTATACGACATAAAAGCGTATGCATACAGAGCTGCAACTAATTTATGAAAAAAAAAAAGATCGTGCAAGGTAACAGAAACACACTGTCATGTTCCGTATCATAAAAAGTCGTGTTTGCGGTGTGCAAAATGCGTATTGCATATGCGTTCAGTTGACTTTAAATTGACCCAATGCTAAATGCTTTGTATCGACTGTGATTGCAACTGATTTCCGTGTTTTTAGCCTGTCTCATATATCATATTCATTTAAACTACAACTACGGCATGTGTGTGTATGGGTTCTGTATCCAGTTGGAATGTTGCTCTTTTGTCCTACGGTCATTTTTTTATGTGTGTGTGTGTTTTTGTCTCCGATTTAAATTCATTGTGCATTTTGAATCATATATTCAAGGCCATGCAAGCGAGAGAGACTCTACATAAATCAGTAATTGCTGTTGTTGTTTTTGTTGCACCAGTTATCGCGCAAGCTAGAATATTGTTAAAGTGACTGAGCCTTTGATTCAAAGCAGCTTGCAATTAATATAAGATTCGTGAATGATACTTCTTTGTTAATGCGTTGGGATTTATTTTTGTTTCAGTCACAAATAAGACAATATAATTATTTTATTTTCATTTGACGAGCTACAATTCATTCTCTGTTTTTTTTCTCATTTATTACAATATTTCAACCGTACTAATCTTTGTGAATTATTATTATATTTCAAGAAAATTGAATTCATATTTTTTTAGTGCAATTTTTCATTAGCGTTACAATGAATAGTGCCGAACATACATGATTTTTTCTGAATAAGCCACAAACCAGGTTTAATTGCTTGGCTGAGAATAGACGCGGTTCTTTGTTTATCAAACTGGTATTATTTTGTGTACAAAAAGTACGAAATCGGTGAGCATTTATTTGCACGGAACTACACGGAATAAAAGGCATGACTAATAAAAGAAAACGCAGAACGATCGTTGCAGTTGTAACCATGTGTCGAAATCATATGAGTCATTGCATTTATTCACGTCAAATCATTTGAACAACGATTAATGTGTTGACTCTTATTTTTTTTATTGTTATGTGTCTAACAAAATACACTTCCAAAATTATTTTTATATTTTGATGGAATTTACACAAGGGAAATAAAATAAGCTTCATTTAGATTAAATAAATAGTAATAAATCTTGACTTATTACTTTCATGTCAAGAACCTTTAAATCTTTTGTTTTTCGGTTTCTACGAGAAAAATGATCTTAAGACGATGATGACAAGGAAATGTCATCTAGATATACAATTGAATTATCGTATGTAGAGCATGGAGCTAATAAAAAAAATCATAATTTGTGAATTTTTTTGGGCGGAACATGTGTAAAATACAAACGACCAAAAAAAACCGTTTTATTTCTGCGTTTCAACGTTGAAATAAAACTTCGTCAGAACAGACACAACTTGATTACTTATTCTTGTTTACGTTGGTTCGAATCGAAAACAAGACGGAGAAAATTTCGATGTGTCAATAACCCTGTCCATTTTTATTTGGCGGCAATTTGATTTGTTTTGCGTCATTCTTTGTGCGTCTTTTGAATTCACATTTTATTTTCGCATCAATTCAATCTTCGTTTACACTTTGTCTTAATCATTTTATCAATAAAAAAAATATCGCGAACATATTTATTCGCTTCATTGATTTGCGGAACTACAGCTCACGAACTAAACTGCAACTTTTGAGTATTAAAACACATTGCTGGCAGTTGGTTCATTGATTTGGACGTGATTGGCTTACAAAAATGCAACAATCACATGTTCAACAAATGCAATATGCAACTCATAGCCAATTAAGTCATGTACAAGTTTTGAATAAAAAGAATATGGTGAAAAATAAATACATTGTGTTTTCCACGTTTATTTCGCAACCGCGTTGAAAAAAAAAATAGATTTTAGGCGAGAAAAGAACGCTCATGCGAAATTCAATTTGAAATAGCTCATGTTTGCTTAGGCATGGAAAATTTTCAATTATCGATGAAATACTGCAGTTTCTGACATAATGAATCTGACGTTGATAACAAAATGGTGTCGGATTCGAATAAAATTCTTATATATAAATACCCCCTATTGGTTTTTGAAGAACGTATGACTTCGAAATATCAAAATAACCTCTTTGTTTTGATACTGATTACTGGCATTTTTTCTTCAATATTTGTTTATTACTTTCTATCAATGAACGCAATAAATCTGACCTCTGTCATTTTGTATGGTTGGCATTTATCGTTGAAAAATGTGTTTGTTACGTATTATCGCTATTTTCTTGTTTGATTTCGTTAGTAAGTTTGATACGTGTCAAATATTGGATTCGTGATACTTGCAGCAAATGCAGCTGAATAATGCATACTTTTTTTTCAAGAAACACACGCATTCATTTACTAATCAAATGACAGTGAACTGCAAACAATGAGACACACACAGCTGATTGCCGGCACATTGACTGGACATAACTGTACATAAATGACGAGAAAATATTTCAAACATGATGAAAATCAAACATTCAATCAATTTAAATTTTCAACAGCAATTCACAAACGGCGCACGGGCATATACACATGTTATTGACCTCGTTTTCACATGCAATCTAGTTCAAATGCAATTCAATATATATATATAGCGAAACACTCATGCTCTTTTTTTGACATGGATTGTCGGAAACTTTTAATTTATCATGATGATTTCAGTTGATGTGCAAAAGCAAAAACAATTGCTCAATTATCCTATTTAAAATAGTGGCAATAGCCTCTGTCTTAATTGCCATTTAATGTTTTGTGGTGTTGAACCATTCGAAAATGGACAACGAGACGATAAAATTGAGTATGTACTGTGAATACGAAACAGAACGTGCGAATTTCAGGCTGCAATAATTTAAATCGATTATATACAATTTTATATAGAGCTATGAAAAAGGGACATCAGTGAAAAAAAAATCAATAAGCTGAAGTTCAAGGATTTATTGAATTCGCTCTCATTGTATCTATCTATCTATCTCTCTTTTTTTGCTACCAACACATTCAAGCAGACTTTGAGGTTAACTTCAAATATTGCAGTGCTAACGGTGTACCGAGTAAGCGGAGCATGCATTGAAAATGAGACGAAGAGAGAATATGAAATACAAATGAGCTTCAGATTATATAGTATAGTGTGTGAACGATACGAAATCGTTTCATAATGTCAGCCGCATTGCGAAAGATCTAATGCAATCTCAATGATAAATATATCGCAAAATATGAAGTAAAAAGAAAGTAGAAACAAAACGATCCGAATAAACTAGGCTACACAACAGCTCGATCGTCATTTTCCGCCAATAAAATGTATCATTTTGAAAATGTTTTCAATTGAATATACAACTGTTTGCTTTAAAAAAATATATATATGATGGTTCTACTTTAATCGCTATTAATTCTTTCTGTGTATTCTGTTTCGTGTATAGTTCTAATAAATACGACCTATTGCATCAGACAATATTTTGCAAATCAGTTCATTTATTTATTCTTCGTTTTTTCTTCTTCGTTGATTCATTATTGAACATTTTGCGATGAGAAATCATTATTTTTATGACAATTCGTAGGCATTTGAGTTAAAACAATATAAAAGAGACTCACAAAGAATATTTATATATCTTTTCAGCATGACTCAGTGAATCTGGCAAAATTCAAAGAATAAAAACGAAACAAATGTAAACACGCATACATTGCAGCCAATCGCATTGTTTCACATTGGTTTGTTGTGAGTTTCTGTATTTTCCGCCGATAAATTAATCTCCCACTCTTTTAGTAAGCAAATTTCCCGAAACATCTTTGCGATGAAGTCTCAACGTATTTTTTTTTATTGCTTTTATTTGTTTGTGTATTTATAGTTTATACTTGAGGTATCTATATATTTGGTTCCGTATTTTTTTCTGACGCTAAACAATTCAAATAACTAGGAATCATGAAGTAGTTTATCGTATTGTATGTAACACATATGTTTCGCACTCTGTTGATTAAACAAACAAAATTAAATAAAAAGAAAAAAAAATACGCTAGAAAATCGCATACAAACACCACACTCATTCACACAAACACACACATTTGGTTCGGTTTTTTTGTTTTGTATCATTTTGAAACATGAAACAAAAATGACAGCGTGTACACATGACGAATAGAACATCTGCACAAGGTCTGATGAGAATCGATATGTAGTGGTGTTTTCGTTGTATTTGTCAAAATGGTTCGTATAAGTATAGAACAACAGCGCGTGGATTCACTCATACGTCAAAATGGCAAAAGAAAGGAAAAAAAAAACACAGAAAAGAACCAATCAAGATAAACTGAATGCAAATCGAATTTTTCAAACTAAACAAGTCTGCATTCTGCGACAGTAAAAACAAAACCAAAAACAAAATAAAATTAAAATAACCAGTGATTCATTGAAAAAAAGGCCCCAAACCAGTCAAAAGAATGCAGACGAAATTATGTAAATAACACTGTTAGGGCTGTTTGACACTTACTTTTAATGCAGCCAAATTATTGTCTCTGGCAGCGTTATAAACAAATATTTTTTGATCCACCATTGCACCGTCAAGCATTTAAACTGCCTTTTTTATTAATTTCTCCTTTATTGCAAACAAATAATGTCTTTTTTATTCAATTCGTAGCAGTTTCAACCAAAATAAATCTCAACAATTTTGAGATTTTTTTCCGGTTTAAATTTCTACAACTTTTAAGAAAAAATATTGTGTATTTCTTATGTGGTTTTTACTTTTGTTATCTTTCAACACTATAGCAACACTGATGATTCACTTTGATTTTTGCGATGAATTCTTTTTGCATCGACAAATCAAAATATTTTCCTCGTCTTCAAATTACACAACACAAAATCTCAAGTAATATTTCGAAATGGAAACGCAAATTAGCTCTTAAATTGTTGTGTTGTTTTTTTATTCTTTCAATTGTTATTGATGTGGCGAAAAGAACATAGAATCTGAATCCAGTATCAATTTTCTTTTCATTCACTTTTAAACTATGCCTTCTTTTGTGCGAATAGTTTATTTACATCACTTTATTTGAATATTTAATCGATTTTTCTTTTCTTCGGTTTGAAAAAAAATTTTTACGTTTTTTTTTAAATAAATAAAACTGAAAAAGAACAAACGAAAAATGAATATTTTTCTTTCTTTCTTTTTATGTGATCAAGTGAGCTTCTCTTGATGAACTCGACTTGATTTATGTGCACTGTGCTCAGTGTTGCGCTTTCTTGAAGACTGAAGCATTCCTATCGAATGCGAGTTAGATGAAGCTTACATATTGTCCGATTGAAATGGATGGTGTTTGCAATACTTCAAATGTATTTGTGTAATGAGTTGGTGTGCGCGTAGCCATTAAAATGTGCTTCATTCAAACGAACAACTTTTGCGTCCAACTGAAAATGGACGACAAAAGCTATGATTAGTTACGGTTACTTTCAGCAGATGGCACTGGTGTTGATTTGAAATATTATTTATTTTCAACTGATTTTCCATTTCGTATTCTTACATTTAAAATTATTTTTAAATCACGAGAAAAAGGCCACAACTAAACGAATTTTTGGTTAATTTTTTTCAAGGTTTGATCAATAATTGGTGATTGAATTTGGGATAAATTTAAATTAATTTTGTTCTCAGGGAAACGAACCTTTACCAAATGAAACAAACATTTTAAGGCAAATTCAATTTTTTTTTTTTGATCGAACATATGAAAAAATCACATATTTTGAATTAAAAGTGAACAAAACTGTACTAACTTCACGACGTTGAACATTCCAAATCGTTAAACTTCATAAGTGAAATCGGTTCAAAAAAAAATTCATTTTTTTACGGCAACATTGACCGAACTAATTTGCTTATTGACGGACGAGAAAAGTTGGAACCTATGACCAAAAGTCGTTCCAACGAATTTATGAAAGAAATGATGATAAAAAAGACGAAACAATTCGCGTAAGAATATACCCAGTGTGAATGATTTTTAGATATATCTAATTACCAAATTAATTTTCTTCTGAGCTGCGTGAAATATTTCACAATATAAGTTTGTATAAAAAAAATTGGCGACTAATATCATTAGGTCTAATTTGTGGAAAGGAACCAATTGATATAACATCAATATATACTCTAATTATTTTCACTTAATATTGCCATTTTCAACTCAGTAGAATCGACGTCGAAATATTTTCACAGTGGAAGGCAATCAATATTAAAAAAGAAAAAATTGAAAGTGGAAAGGGGAGTAGAAAAAAGGGATGGCGCGACAACAATAATCTGTTACGGTAAAAAACACCAAACACCAAATTACATGCGAAATCGAAATGAAGGGAAAAAATGCTAACAACAGGCTTGACATGAAATGATTTTATGTTGACGCCTCACATTAAATTACTAATGTTTTTAATAAACTGGTACAAAGTATGAAACACATACGCCAGCCACTCGCATCAAACAGCAAATGTGGAAAATATACATGATGGAACCCACATAAAACGCCGCACTACACAAAATATCCACAATCAAAATAAAATTCCGAACAACGGTATAAAGTGAATTGGCAAAAACAGCTCGAAACCGCAACAGTACAACCACCAAACTCATTTGCTCCAAATCGTTTCGAATATTTACACACAATTATTTGTAGCTGCTAATAATATTCGTTACACACACACATATTGCCACTCATGCTCACATTCCCACCGCTTAAGAGCGCATCGAGTTGCTATTTAGTGCTTGCCTTACACATACCCCATTGTTTGGTTGTTATCCAACGAACAAGCAGCTCCATATTTTCCATCTGTAAAACTTTTTTCTTATTGATGTTGTTGTTGTTGTCATTGTCGTTGACGTCGCTTTTTGTTGATTCACGAAACGGTTGGTTGGTTTTTGCATGCGAACGCGCTAGAAAAAGGTATAACACATTATTCCTCTCTCTCGAAAAGTTCTCCAACTAGAAAAGCCACCAAAAAAAAAATGAGTGTGTACGAATTCAAAGTGAATGTGGCAACAGGGTGAATAGGAAATGCAATGTACGTGGCATAGCTATACAATATGTAGCTATGTAAAGTATATTATGTATATGACATCAATTCATTCAACCTAATATGAAGATTATATTCGTTTATTCGGGTGCTCACACAGTTATATTTGTTTGCGAATGGTGCGAGAGTAGAGGGAGGCGATATATTTTCTCGTGATATTATGTACATTCTAGTGTCATATCGGTGGTGGCGTACTGAAGCTGTCGAATGAACAATCATAAACTTCAACTCATTCGACCGCAGCTTGCACACACATAGCGAAAGAGCATCGACTACAATATCCGCATTTGGTTAAAGTATTCCATCCCCCATCATGGACAAATCACATACATTTATTTGCGTGAACAAAAGCTTTCGCAGTAAATATATATAATTGTGTGTGCATTTACACATATAGAAAGATGGAAAATATTTCACACAACGCATCCGTTTTATAGATATAATATGACGTTGTATTAGCAAACAAACAGTAGCGAGAAAAGAGCCATTACGATACAAATACCATATTGAATCTAGATAGAAAAGTGTATGCTCTTTATTTCACAATTGACGCACACATATCCTTGCATACATATCATGTTTCTCACATAACTCATATCGTGCAGCAAAAAAGATGTACGAAAAAAACACCGGAAAATTCCACACCTCCACCTACACCTCCATCTCCAGACAAATTTTGTGCAAACTAATAAATGTAGTAAATTCGTAACCTCATCAACGCTAACTACCGATATATATATCGCACACAAAATATGAAATTTTGTATAGACATAATAATTGGTATGGGGTGTGAGTGAGTGCATTTGTGTATATATGGTAGCGATGGATCGAGGTATAGTGCACTCTATTCGGGGGGCGCCTGTTAATGTTGTAAAACAAACTCATGCAATATTCAATGATGATGATCGTGACGATGACGATGGTTTATGATGAGTCTTTATTGCAATCATATTCAACATACCAAAGCGTTCACTCGGTGTTTTCACAATGAAGCTTTTGTTTGACTTTTTCATTCGCGTGGAATACTTTAACCAAGTGTGAACAAAGAAATAACGTCAAGGGATGAAATAAGCCATCGTACATAACAAAAACAGCAAAAAAAATCTCACTTGTTTTGGTTAAATATGTGGATCAAATGAGCGGAACAAACAAACAAACGAATGAGAAAAATGCACGGACTTTTGCCGAATGGGAAAAACGTTCCGTTAGATAATAAAATAAACATTCCGAAGCAGAGAATAAAATGAAATGTGGGAATCGAAAATGGGACGAAGTGAAATAAATGCGTGCATTTGAATCCATGTAGAATGCTCCATCCACCCAGAATATTAATTGGATCGGGTTGTACTTGTAGTATATCGTACACATTCATATTTATCATACACAGTATACACATTGCAAATATTCATACATTTTGCATGCATTGTGTATTCAACAATCCGTTTCAGACTCTCTCATGTGCACTATTCTAGTGTTGAGTGTAAGGTGCAGACAGAGAGTTAACTTAAACATACATACCACTTATACGCTTGTTATGCGAACTATTTTTTATCATCATCTTTTGACTATGGCTTTTTTCCATTCTACGCTCTCAACCACCACGTTTTATGTACTCGTTCCATCCAAATCATCCAAAATCATCCGATTTATCTGTGTGTATGTATGAGGAAGTGGATGAATGGTGCTAACGAAAATTGAGACATTTCACACAGAAAACTTATCGAACACATTGAAAACCACCCATACCCGTGTTTATTTTCAACCGTTTATACGAGTGCTACATATGCGAATTGGCGGAAGGTTGAATATGAAATCCAATATATTCCAAAATCTTTCGAAAGCACGTACTTTTGGTTCATTCTTGTAGTGATGATTTTAATACAATAGAAAGCAAACCAATAAGCGACGGCTACATTGACGGCAACGAAACGATTCTGTACACGTCCTACGATGAGAAAAAAATAGTGCATACCACACAATATATCCATCCATTATCATTGAATCATCCAAGAGTGAAGCGTAACATAAATAATAAGTGCAAGAGCGAAGATAGCAGCAACATCAACAACAACAATTCGCCAAACCGAAGCGAATGGCACGAAAAACTTATAGCATTAAATGTTTATACACGTATTTACGGATGTCACGCCGGCGCACTTTTTTCCCTTTTGTTGTGAATTGTGTTCAATTATAAGGTACCTTATAGTGCGAACTCACCGTCATACACACATTCGGTTGGATTCAGTTCAAATATCGCTTATTTTTCCCAAACACATCAAACTCTTCGCGTGTGTATATCAATCCAATTCTTTGGTATTCAGTTTTTTTTTTCTTCTCTCTCGTCATTCGGTCGTTCGTTGGTTGTGTTTCACTCTGTAAAACAACTCAGAGAAAATCTTTACACTCCATCCTTGTTACGTGCTCATATTCTTCTCTTTCCCATTCTCTTCTCTATGGCTATGTAATACATGCTGCCATATTTCGTTTGTAATTCACCAGATACCCACCGCAAGCCATACAGCCACAATTTGACTCCGAATGCTCATTCTATGTTCGTTCCCATCTTCCGTCACTTTCTCTCACTCTCTCTCTATCTCTGTTTCTTTCCCTTTCACGCCTCACAAATTCTCTTTTCTCCTGATTCTCTATCATCGTCGTGTGTGCAATCACAATCACACAAAAAAAAACAAGCCGAACACACATTCGAACAAGCGAACAAGCAAGCCAGCGAACGGAAAGTAAATTGGCAAAAACAATAAACAAATAGGAAAATGGGCATCAAAAGCAGAGCTCATTCCATCGCGTTTTTCAACGGGCAAACATAACCGTCCGTCGACAATTCAATGGTTAAATAAAGCTCTTATACACATTTAGTGTGTGCATCGCTGGCAAACACCATATCAAATCATTATGAGGATCCGATGAACAACGAAAAACACGACATGAGCTGTACGATTCCGTTTCCACCACTACACATACACACACATGCACACATAAATCAAGTCAAACAAATTGACTTGCGATATTGGTGCTATGTAGATGTTGTCTAGCGTTTCGGTTGCTTGAATTCGTGCCTGCTGGCGAAGAGACATGCGTCGAATCGAATCGGCACACGCTGCGTCACCGTATCCATTCGATGAACGCATTTTATGTATTCGGATGTTTGTTCAATCGCATTTACGAGGGAATCATCGAAGTGGACGCGTCGTATTTTCGATTGTCGCTCATGTCGGCGTGTGTTTGAATTTATTTTTTTCATTCGAAGAAACAAGAAAGAAAAAGAGTTTCTATTTTCCCATCCAAATATCGTTCATCCGGTATTTGAGACGTTTTTTTTTTTTTTTAAAGATCAATTAAGTGATTCGATTACTCATTGTGTGAAAACAGCGAAAAAGAAATAAATTAAAATATTTGGTGCGGAAAAAGTTTGTGGATTACTTAAAAATTTAGTGGTATGCAATGGCTCGAAATGAAACGAGTTTTCGAAGTATCTCGATGTTTTCGATAAACAATTTGTGAGTGAATTTCAATATAATTCGGACTCATATCAGTCCAAATGGTTTAATTCAATTTATAATAAATGTATTGCGTTGATATTTCCAAACAACAGTTCGACCAATGACAAATTATTTCACAATAGCGCATTCAACACGTAACTAAATCTATAGCTTCGGCAAGAATAACAAAAATTACAACATCATCATCATCGACGGAGTCGTGTTTTATCGACTCGATCGCAACGCATTCATCAAGTGAAGAAGACTAAGACAAAAGCAAAATTAAAAACAGTAGAAGACAAAAAAAACCGTCGAAAACATACCAGTCAGTGAAATTGCGATATTTTTGATGAAAAGAGAAGCAAAAAAAAAAAATAAAAATAAAAGTTAAAACAACAAAATTTTGGAAGAAAAAAAACCGAAAGATATTTACAAAACAAATACAGAAACAAATTCAAACAAAAGAAAAAAAAAAGTGTTTGAAAAGTTATTCTAACACAAAGCGTCATCACCGGTTCAGTTTTTTTCCCTGACGTTTTTTTTCGTCGTGTTTTGTGAGTGATTTGATCTAAAGATATCTGAATTTGAATATTACAAAGGAACGTATACACAGAAAACCACACTTTCAAAAGTAAATGAAACGTAGATGAATTCGCCGACACAATTAGGTACAGTGTATTAAAAAAAATTGTGCTAATTGCAGATACTTTATTATATCTCCTGTGTGTAAGCAAATAAAGAAAAAGATCGAGAACGAGTGAACACAAAAATATTACGACAAAAACATCGCAACAGTAATAAGTGTCTGAAAGTTATTGCTACTTTTAAAGCATTTGATCGCTATCGACAACAGCATCGGGCAAAAAAAAAGTTCGTTATTTCATATGCTACCGCTTCTTCTTCTTTTTCTTTTTTTCATCGTTTAAATTAACAGTTACACAATTCCCAAGCATTTGGCACTCACAATTAGTGCACAATACACAGATGAAATTAATTGCGGCGTTCTTCTTTTTATTTGATGTGGCACAAAAGCAATACACACGGTGACCCTATTTTTTGATAGTATTTGTTTGATGCGACGCTTCAAAACTCATTTGAGGTTAGAATTTTGACGTCTCCGTCTCACAATTTTACACGTACAAGGCTTCAAAACGCGCGCTGAATTTCTTCTTTCTTACACGACAAAACCACATACAGTAAAATAAAAACGCGGTGAATTTTTAGTGTGATTATTATTGTGAATAGACAAAAGACTATTATTGTTTTCGTTTTCAAGGGAAATTTTCTGTATAATAAGTGATTGATTGAATTTGTATTTTATGATTTCCTTGAAGCAATTCAACCAGATTATTTGAAAAAAAAAAGTAACAACAAAGCGATATTGGAATATTTAAGTGACGTAATATTTTCAGTTCAATTTTTTTTTCTTTATTTAGTTCAGTTTTGAATTGATAAACGAAAATCCAGCTACTTATTATTGGATTAATTTAAAAAGAAAGGATCTATTCCGATTTCAAAATTCATCATCAACAAAATCATCTTAAAATGTATCCGACAAATGCACGACATCCACCGGCCTCGGTAAGTACTTTGTTCACAATTGTTCATTCTTCATTTTATTAAATTGTTTGACGGTGTTTCCATTTTTTCGTGCAATATCTCATTTTATCGTCTCTTCGATTTGTTTATTTGTATTCGGTGTCAGAAATCACTGTAACTTCGTAATTTTTGATAGCTTCAGGAGAATAACGGTTTATTTCATCTTCTTTGATATACATCCTAGAAAAAAAAGAATGCGAGCAAGAAATATTCGCACCGAAATCGAGCAATTTAAATTGTGAAAAACGGAATATTTCGAGTGAATAATAGGGAGATAATTGAGATGCAAAGGTTAATTAACTTGACGGTGACCACGTGACATTGCAAAACCAAAATACGGATAATTTGCTTTAATGAATGTGTTGAGCAATTCAATTTTAATTTGAAAATAAAAAATAAAATATTCACAATGCACAGTTGCACACACATACACACATCGGCGTGGTAATTTGATCAGACAGTTGAATGAAGAGTGAAACTAAAACGACGTACGACACAAAGAAGATTGCAATTTTCTGTATTTATTTGCAGAATGCACTGGCACACACAGTACAAACACTTGACGCGATAAAATATTTACACATCGTCTATCGCCTGCGGTTGCATGTACATCCAACTGTTTATTTATACATAGTTATCACATAATGAATCCGCCTATAGAGAAGTGAATATGTGGCCATGCCCATACACTCAGCACAATCGCCGAGATAAATATTCAAGCAATCAAAGTTCCATTTTCATGCGGTAGGTAATGAAATGAATATTGAATGCATTTTACAAAATAAAAATAAAAACACACATAAACCAGCACACATACCACTTTGAAATTGGTTACATCTCTAATTTATCGCTCGTTCTCTCTTTCATTTTAAATGAAATTTGGTTAAATTCGAGTGGCAGACAACGATTGTGTCGTTGGGAAAGAGGAAGTTAAACCAATTTGACGTACAATGTTTGCCGAGGCAATATTGTAATTTAAACAGTAAATGAATGAAATATAATTGAACCGTCTACACAGAGACCACAGTGCAATCGGCAATGGCAATCACAGCGGTAGCGCAATGGCAAAAACCGGAGGAGCAATTAAAGTGCTTAGCTAATAATAAGTACACGTTGAATGTATAAATGTAACACACTCAAATTCCAATCTTGTTTGCTTAATATACAGTAAACACCATCGGCCACTTATCATCAACACGCCTGACGCCGTCGTTGCAATTTTAAATTTGCGCATGTATTTGCTGCTCAATCACTAAACGAATTTCTTTCTTTCGTTTATTTCGCTCGTTCGCCGAGCTGTGCATTGCGATTGTTAACTTTTTTTTTTGACTCGTTTTGTTTTAAAGATTGTTTCTTTATTCTCGCGTTTTTTTAGTTTTGTTTTATAGTTTGTTTCATTCATCTCGTTGCGATACGATGCAGGATGAAGTGGAGATAGAGAGACGCAAAGTAAATATGTCAATTTTATTTTACGAGTCTAAATGCACAATCCTTGTTCTACATTACACGTTATATGCATTTAAATAAATGAACGGGTTTAATTAAAGCATGAAATACAATTTTCAATTTTATGGCTTGTACATGTGTTTGTTTTTGTGCTAATGCTGCAGTTCACCACAATGTGAACCTTTCAATCAGTTTATTTATTTGATGCGAACGATAGAGGGAGAGCGAAGGCACGAGAAAGAGAGAAAAAATGCCAGAAATGTGGCGACAATCTTCTTTTATTTCATCAGTTGTCTATTTACAAACAAACAATCTGAAGATGAATAAAAAAAAAAACAATCGCTTCTCTCGAAATGATTGAAGGCGCACACAAAGCGACAAACTCATTGAAATAATGGAGCTGCATATTTCAACTATCAAACGTCTACCGAATGGCGACGGTAACCGGAGAACAAATTGCTTCACATAGCTGAGATGATTTTGTTCGTCGAATGAATAGGAATTTTCTCCATTACAAATGGCTTTAAATGTATACAATATGTCACAAAAATCAGCATTACACGCTAAATGCATTGATGTCGTACGATGCAGTTATTATATACATGGCTTGTGTTTGAATAGGTTGCATTGGTTTTTGGTTTGGCGAGAGCTCGTGTACGAACGAATGAGTGTCATTATTTTCGCGCTTCATTTATCATATCTTCTTAACATTGTGCATATACATGTATATGGGATGTTTATTAGCGTTGCTGAGATGCAGCATTCTTTGAGATGATGGAATGATTCATTTCATGTCATGCACATTTTAATAAATTATGAATGCCTCGCCTCATTCGTTGCGTACACATGTTCATCATGTTTGGATGTTTGATGAGCGAATTCTTTATTCATGTATCACCGGAGAGTTTCTATTTTGCCACTGATTTGACTGATTTGGTAGCAATCTATTCTTATTGCGGCTTCATTTTTATGATTAGTCAATTTAATAGATCGACGTTGATTAATATTTTTACATCAGTCCCATCCACATTTCTATCCACATGCACACACACACCGCCATACCATGCTTTTTAATTGTTATTTGTCATGTTCATTTTGTCCTTTGCGGTTACAATTCGTTTTTCACTTTGACGTGCCTGCTTTTTCTACCGTCGTTCGCAATTGTCGTTTCATCAAATGCATTCGCTTTTGCTTTGGCGCTCGCGGTTTTGCTGTAATTGAAGTTGTTAAATTCGTTTCTCTCTCTCTCTATCTCTCTCCGTTTCTTCTTCGCCCTTCTGTACGTCCGCTTTCATTCTTTGTGCATTGAATCATTGCGGTGGTACGTATATTTCATAAGTGTACAATTTTTCTTTCGTCTTTTTTGTTCCACTTGCCGCGCTATGATTGCCTCCGATGTAATTTCATACTTTTCGCGGTTCGTTTATGTTTCTTCATCTTCACATAAACATCATTGACTGTTGTTTCATTTCATACAACGCTTTTTTTTCCCGCATTCATTTAACCAAATGCCTACTTTGCCCTCCATACAAGCAATTCATTTTCTTCAGTTGCAAAAATATGTGTTTTTGTTGTGTTTATTGTTGTTCGTTCAACTTCTTTTTCTCCACTTTTCACGATTGATGGTTCTTTATAGCCGCTTTCGTACCTTCAAGTTCTTTGACGTGTTTTCAACACAGCGAACGCACTGAATTGTAGCAACGGTTAATAAATTAATGCTAAAAATCTTTTATGAAAAACACGAAGACCTTTAATGTGAAGGAAGAGGCGAACATAAAGAGGCAACGAAGGCAAAAAAAACTATGTTAATTCGCCTAATTACTTATAATTGAGTTAATTTTGTGTAATTTTCTATGTTTCCTTTTTGCACGCATTCAGTGTACATTTTTAATGCGTTTTCGATTGATTGTTTGCCAAGCTGTTGAACACTGTGCGCCGCACCATTTCTCTTTTTCACTTTTCTTCTCTCTCTCCCTCCCTCTCTCAAATGTCGATCATAAAACGAAAATTGTGATAATTTTATTGCTAACACACACACGTATCCGGCGAACATAGTCAGTCAATTGGCTCGTTTTGCTTTTCAACTCATTTACTTCTTTCAGATAAATCCAATTAGATTTGACCACTTGTTCACTCTCCAAACAACGTATGATCGAATCGATGAATCACATAATGTTAATACCAATTTTAACGATGACTAAACTGAAGTTCAGCCACGATACAATTACAATCTGTTCCATTTAAAAAGCACCACATCGCGTCGTGGATGAGTGAAAATTGAAAATGAAATTAAATAACTGAACAAAGTTAATGACGTGAGATTTACAATGGTAGATAACGTGATAAAAACTGTTATTAGTCTCTTTTTCGTCATGTATTGTTCTTCACACTTCGTCACATTTTTTTATTGAAACTTTTTTTTTCACTCATTTAATGAGTCGACAAAAAAGTATAACGACTTTTACGTTTTAAAAAAGCTCAAGTACTTCTTTTGCGATTTGAACTACTGTGGTTGATTTATATAATTTTTTCGCCGTCTGTGCGGTGTAAGTTGCGCTGTAATAAGTTTGAAATGATATCAGTGTGATGTCTGCAATGATAGACAAAAAACTGTCATGCAGTCCCTACGAATTGTCAGAAGCACTCCATGTTCATCAATGATGTTTGTTCAAGTGGAACTGTCACTATAACACCCGAATTGGTTTTTTATGTTTTTATTATCAGCGGTTCTTTATCAAGTATTACGCTTTGCTTTTAAACATGTATTCGATTTGAATCTTCATTTGACTAATTCATTTCAACCGTATCTCAAAATGTTACGGTGACGACACTTCGTCGTTTTTTTTTTGTTAAAAATGCACACTTTCTAAAGTGTATAAGCCAAAACAAAAAAAAAATCCGAATCAACGATTTCAATGTGAACTAATTGATGAGCGCAACGAAATGAAATCGAAAGAGGGGACGAAAAACGAAACGATATAATTTGTTTGATTCACGAGTTTAAGTCTCTTGAAAAATGTCAAGTGTTGCAAAGTATAATTAATTAAGTGGTTTTAAGACGTATTATGGTCACATCGATCTTTAATCTATTATATTTCTGTGTTTATTTCGTTCGCCATTTCAAACATACGTATACCATGCTAATGAAGCGAGATAGAGATAGAGAGAGCTGAGATGAAAAAAGCGTGCTTAGTCTCTATCGCACGCTTGCGTTCGTTTATTATTTATGCAAACTCATAATTACTGCTGATCACTAGCCCCATTTAAGTAAATTGTGAGCACTTGATTAATTAACAAGTCGTTCGATCGATGGAATGTGACTTGTTAGTCACAATCCTATAAAAATACTATCAGCTTGAAAATGAAGCACATCGATTCAATCCACATTTTCTTGTTGTTGTTGTTGTTTTGTCGTGTGTATAATACGTTGATAACAGTCAAGTGTTATTGTTTTATTCGAACTGCAAAGAATATCGCATATATTTCAACAATGTCACATTTTCATTTACTACTTTTTTTTATGTGTGATACAATTT